ACTGTACCCAGGATCCTACCTGGAGCCTGCTTTGGAGTCCACACAGCTGCCAGCTGCACGGCTGCTAGATGTCCGTGGTTACTGTGGAGAAAATGCATGAACAGTGGGGCTAGCGTGTGTTCCTGCGGAGAAAGAGAGAGCTTCTCTGTTAAGTTGTGCTATGTTATCTCAAGCTTGGGAAGGGCCAGGAGGTTTTTCAGAATTAACCCATCAGATTCCCAAGATTTGGGGGCTTCTGATGAATCTACCTGATAGCCAATTGATCCTTTTCCCACGAGAGACTGATAGGCATCCATGGTGATGATTTTGGTTCTGATTGCATGTGTTTTTCTCCCCCTGCTCCCTGCTTACAGCTGGGTACTAGAGGGAGGTCACTGCTCCTGGGGGGATTTCCTATCTGCTCCAAGGAGACTCCCATGAGCACCAGTTCTCTGGAGTGTTGAATGAGTCTATTTATGCTATAGCTTCCTAGTGAAACTGTAAGGCTCATGCTCCTCGGACCATTAGGCTCAACAATGCCTGATTCCCTTTGGTTTTTTCCTTTATTAATAATTGGCTAACTACCTATGGTAACACTAGGGTTAGTGAAAAGTGAGCAAAGAATAAGAGCCCAAGTTAATAATACTCAGCTGGATCATAGCATTGCTAGTATCTGTTTATGACAATATGATATCATTATATATTTTATTTGTTATATCATTAATATTAATTTACTTATTTTGTTTCTGTGTATAAAAACCTAGTTCTTATTTTGTTTGTGTGTATAAAAACCCAGTATGTGGAACACTAAAAAAAAAATCAATATTCCACATACTCAGACAAAACAGAGAAATAAATACATTATAAATAAATACATTGATAAATAGACAAAAGACATCGTGTGTAATATATGTGTATAATCTGCATGTGTGTATGTAAGCCAGCTGCCTAGATTCAATAGGCTTACCCCAGTCCTTACTGGTGTTTGGTGTATGAACACATTTTGTTTATTTTCTTCTGGTTTTCCTATGAAAAGTGAAGATTCTAAATCTAGATGCATCAAGAATTGTACCTAATCAGGAAACATTTAGTCTGTCAGCTGTCTGATCTGTGAAAATATAAAGATGCTGATCAGAGTGTTAGGAATATATATTAGGAAGGATAAAAGGTTCATAACCCTTAATAGTTACGATGTGAAAGTGTCTGGGCGGTAAATTAGTGCTGGTATATTACCAATGTCTTACAGACACAGTCCATGTCAGTTAAAAGGATTTGGAATGTTTTTTGGCCCTAGAAACTTCAACCCAATAGTTAATATTGATAGTAACAATTATCTGAGGATTAAAAAAACTGTCAATCATTAATAACATGTTTAATTTAGGTAGAAGTCAGGCATTAAGTGTGTGATTTTGTTTTTTAAGAAGATAGATTTGTGTGATATTTTTAAAAACTATCATAAGGCAGTTCATCTGGAAATTTTAAATTGCCTAGAAACCATATAAATAATACAGTATTTTAACTAAAACAACAAATATGGCAAACACAGTACATGTCATAAGACAAAGGTTCAAATCTTCATTATTCAAGTGAAAAGTCCATTTTAGGACATGATGTATGTAAAAGTTCTTTTAACACTGTATTTGATATATTTGCTGACATTTGCCTCTTGTATAATCTCTGGCATTTGAGTCCAATTTAATCATACGATGTTCCAGTGATATGGCAACAAAATTAAACTGGACTATCCCCGTCACCCTTACAAATCCCCCCACCAGGAAAACAATCTCCCTATCACCTGCCAGCTCATAACCCTCCTCCCTCTATCTTCATCCTGCTGCCAGTGAACCCCCTCACCAGCTAATTAAACAGATGTACCGGGTGCTGCTTCCTGAAGCTCCACAAAACCGGACTTTGATGGACCGCAGAAAGTGGCACAACGGAAAAACAAAAGCCTTTTAACTGAGAGCACCGCTTTGTTCTGCTTAGAACGTTAAGGTCACTCCTGCTCACTCTGGGGGTGGGGATCTTAATTTTTGCTCAACCAATTTACTCGCAGCTGTCATCCCTCCCAAAATTAAAGTTCAGCTCTTCAAGAGCGGGAAATCAGGGGGTGGGGGGTTGGTGGCAGGCAATGGAAGAGCTTGTTGCAAACTAAAAACAGCAAAAAACAAGTAAAATCTGGCTTGGCTCTCAAGTACAAAAAGTTATTTTCAAAGCCTATAAATTATGACATAGCGATTAACATGTAATTTAAATATATTTAAACAACAATTATATCACATTCCCAGCCCAGCTAATTGGCCTCACAGATGTTCCCTTGTAGCAGCATTGCCCTTCCAGGAGGAAAAGAATGAGGTGCTTTTTATCATGAAAAACAGGAAAAAAAAAACCCAAATGAAAAAAAAAATGAAGACAGAACTGTAAAAAGCAGCCAGTAACCTTAAAGAACAATGAATGCTAAAGGGACTTTGCTTAGCATTTTTTCTACTTTAATGCTAGAAAAAGCATTTAAAACCGGAAAAAGCACGATGCCACCCCTATTGCTGCGATGGCATCTGGCAGTCTCTCCAGAGCTGGCGGGCAGCTGACAGAGAGACTCGTCAAAGCAGGGACAGCAGATGCATTCTAATGTGGCAGGACCTCACTTCCTGTGCCGAAACAGACTCAGTGCCGGAGGTCTAGTTATTCTTAAGGTAACGCCTTTCTAACTGAAGGTGGCCCGGCCCAGGTGATGGTTATAGATAATAAAGTACTTCCTGGTGAAGAATGACTTGGGAGTTATTCCTTTGATCATTTCTTTCTCAAGTTTTTTAAAATGTAAAATGTGCAGAGGTCAAGGCTGTTTCCCTGAGCTGTGATTCTAGTCAAACATGAGGTAGTACAGCAACTCCTGCAAGTAAGAGGTCAAAGGAATACTGGTAATTACTAATATTTTGTTATACCTTATCCTCTAATATGTAATCATTGTACTGAAATAAATGCGTGCCAACCTCATTTCCTTCTTGCCTTTTCTTCTAATAATCTCAGATAATGGTTGACAGTACCGTGTAAATTGCAAAGGGCTGGTAACTATGTTTCTCTTAGTGTATCCTGATACCTACAGCATCTACTGCAGTTCCTGGGCTTTCATTGTAGAGAATGACTACATGTTTGTTAAATGTTTGCTAAATAATGAGAGTTTAATGATACAGTCAAAGGTTTGTAATAAAATAAAGTTCGACCAGCCAATTATCCTATTTCTTATATCATCCCCTATTTTATATAGCACTAGACTATATAGAAAATTCCTTCCTCAAAATATATGAACAATATATTTGACTTCATATCTTTCTAAAAGGTCACAAAATATCTATAATTTAAGTAATGTGGAGAACAAGTGAGCATTTTAAAATGCTTCTTGATAAGTACATTTGGCATTTTAATTGCTTGACTTCAACAATCCAATGTAGCAGAGGTGAATGTTCAAATTTTATATATTCTCTACATTTGGGCATAGCCTACAAAGTTCATCTATCAACATTAACTTACTTTGTCTACACTAAGAATAAGCTAGAGAGACCAAGAATGAAAAGGAAGGCCTGGAATGTTTCATGAATGATCACACGGCTTGTGATTGGGACTGAAGCTCAGAGCTTCTAGCAAATCATGAGATAGTCGATCTATTTAAGGTTCAATACTACCCTCTATCATTGCTTTTTAACTGTGTCTCTAACTGTCCACATCAAAATCTTCAATGTCTTGTTAGCTTATGTTATCAGAGAAGGAAAGAGATAATATTTTCTATTCCATCATATAAGTGACTCATTTATGGGGAAAACTAAAATGTTCAAAACTCAAAGGTTTGAAACTTGTCCCTTGATTAGTCCAATAGACTAAGTAAAGAACTTGTACTATCTGATTGTTACTGATGTGCATTAGAAAATTTATCTCCATGAGATCATATTCTTCTTAGATTATTTTATGAATCTCTAAGTTGTAAAACCATTGACCTGGAATAATATTTACCTATATGTGACTTAGTGTCCGAGGCTTAATTTAGTTACCTCTGTTCACTCAAAGACAGAATGTAGAGAATACAAGCTTTATAAAGTCAACTGTTTTTATTTTCCCTATTATCTGTATTATCTAGAAGAGTGCCTGACATATAGACAATAGATTCTCAAAAACTATGTTTAATGAATACATTTATATGTGTATTTTTATTAAAACACAAAGTCACTGTTTATACAATCCTGTATACTTACCTGAAGGAACAGTGTCTTTAATATTTTATCGTACTTTTATACCTACTTTTACTAAGCCCATAGGCTGCATGGAATATTAAGCTGTAAGAATATAGTTTTTTTTAAATAGAAATCTGATTTTAAATAAATGGAATTAATGTATGTAAAGCATATTTCCAGGAAAGAAATTGATTTTCCAAGTTTTCTCCTGTTTCTTAACTTAAAAAAATGAGACTGAAAAGGGAATAACATGTACCTTTTTATAAGGAGAAGCTAACAAGTTGACCCTTTGCTGAAATGGTGAAAAATAAATGTAACTTGATAGAAAAAAAATATTCTAGGCAAATTGAAATCCACGTCTATCTCCTTAGAGAGAAGGTCTTCTTATAAGAGAAAAGTTGGTGCCATGGCTTGTGGCCATTCCAGTCATTTAACATCAACAAAGAAAACTGTTCCTTGTCTGCAATTACTGTTTACCATTTGTTGTTTTTCCCTTTCTTCTAGGGTTAATCAGAAAAATATTCATTGGCAATCTAATTTTTAATTCATTTTCTATAATCCTTTTCTATATACTTTTCCTTTGCAGGGAGGAATTAAAAGACTCAATTTCCTGAAAATGCATAAATAAACTCTCTTGCAGTCAAAGTGCATACGATTTTACCATTTAGCAAACTTCACTGTTGTGCATGGTTTTCTCTCTTGTTCATACAACTCATGTGGCTTTTCTTTTTCTTTCTTTTTTTTCCCATTCATATTACCTCTTATTATATCCATCATTCCATTTTTCTTTCCTATTAGAGTGAAATTGGACACAGCCCTCCTCCTGCCTACACCCCCATGTCAGGAGTAAGTATTTCACAACCAATCTTCATCTTTTAGGACTTCGGTCTTTGCTCACCATGTTTTTTCTCTCTTGTCTCCCCATTATTTCCTCATTTTTGCCTTTGCCAACAGTGAGTTAAGAATTCGCTGTAGATTGCATAGCTGTCTTTTTAGACCTATTTTATTTCAGTAGATAAACTAAAATTAAGATTTCATGCATCAACAGTAGCTATTGATTTTACCTGGGGTCATTAGTTATAATCCTAAGCGAGCAAACAGGTTGTCTTTACTTCCATGATGATAGGTTGTGTGCTAAAATGTCAGCATGTCGTTGATGATTCTCTAGGTCCTAGAGACCTAAGATCGTGGTAACCACAGAACAGATCACATCAATAGCACCACTGCAATGGCATCACTGTGCTTCTGTTCTTAACGGCAACTGTCTATAATAAACAATGTTGCTATTTGTCATGAAAATTCACTTCAAATTTTATATCAAACATGGGCAATTGTGGGAAAAATGTAAACTATGTTTTATTAGATCAAGTGGTAGGTGCTTAGTAAAACTAAATAATATATACTCCCAAATTGTTTATCAATGATTTAATTTTCAAGAAAAATTGAAAGCTTAAGTGTTAGTCTGTAACTAAAACCCATAAGCCATTAGGGAAAATAGGCTAAAAAAAAAAAAGAAAATCTGATTTTTTTTCTGAAAGACAAGCTTCCATATCTTTTTGGTTTTTCACATTTATTTTTACAACCATTCCTAACAATAACTTTTGTCCAAATGTGTCTCTGCTATTGACAGAACCAGTTTGTGTACCGAGATGGGGGCTTCGCTGCAGAACAGGGAATGCCTGCGCCCTACAGAGCCCCGACCAGCACCATCCCAGAAGCTCCCGTCGCTCAGGGGGCTACTGCTGAGATTTTTGATGATGCCTGTTGCAATGGCACCCTACGCAAGCCAGTGACACCCCATGTCCAAGAGGACAGCAGCACCCAGAGGTACAGTGCTGACCCCACAGTGTTCGCCTCAGAGCGGAGCCCACGAGGAGAACTGGATGAAGAAGGTTACATGACCCCAATGCGAGACAAACCCAAACAAGGTACACACAGCATGTTCAGAAATGATTGCCTTTCTACATTCGCATCCATCAGAATAAGCAAAGTATAGGAGGGATATTGCCAGGCCACTGGACAATGTACCATCCGTGACCTAGAAAAGACCTTAGCTGCTGCCATTCAGGCTGCACTGTCTGAATCAGCAGCAACCACAGCAGTTATGGGTTTTTTTTAGAAATCAGAAATCTCAGGCCCCACCTGGGTAGAAGGCTGAATTTAAACAAGATCCCCAGGTATTTTTTAAATATGATTAAGTCTGAAAAGCACTAATCTGAACACATCTTTATTGAAATATTTAAATGAGGTATCATATCACAAGATGTCAGAACCATTGTTTTATTGGACTTACTGTAGACGTTATAAAGACTGGTATTGTTGGCAAAAAAGCATCCGAAGCTTTGAATTGCACCAATAAAATATTTGGTTGATTCATTTAAATGGTGTCATTTAAATAACCTCATTTATTATAGGAACTTATGATTTATTCTATGACACATTTCAAAAATTAAAGTTCTAACCCTGTAAAGGGTTAGATTTATTGTAACCCTTGTAAAGGGTTAGACTTATGATTTATTCTATGACACATTTCAAAAATTAAAGTTCTAACCCCTGTAAAGTTCTATACACTTATATGTATACCATCACATCTAGAGAATATTCATTGTTCATGGCTTTATAAAGCACAGCAATAATATTGCAATTGCTCCCTCTTATCCATTGTTTTGCTTTCCTTGGTTTTAATGTCCCAAGGTCTGAAAATATTAAATGGAAAATTTCAGAAACAAAGAATTCATAGGTTTTAAAGTGTATGCCCTTCTGAGCTGTGGGATGAAATCTAGCACCACCTCACTCCGTCCCCCCAGGCTGTGTATCCGCGCTGTATATACTGTCTGCTCCTTAGTGGTATACAACATTTTTGAATATATACCAAAAGAGGAGACAAAAAAATATGGTCTAACAGATACTTGAATACATGTCTGTATATAGTCATATTTTAGAGGGGTGAAAATAAACTTGAGGAGAATAACATCAATTAGCAACATTTTAAAAAATTTGAGCCAATACCTATTTTAGATAAATTTATTAGATTGAATCACACAAAGTAACAACTATATGACCATTTTAAACTTCTAAAATAGTGCTATTTCATATGATTCAAGCTAATAGCTTGCTCTTTTGTGATGGAATTATTATTAGCCATTGGAAAATGTTATAATTTTACTATATTGTTAAGCATCTGTATTGTCAAAGAAAGTCACTTTAGAAGCATGTTAGATGCCTACCAGATTTGTTATTGAGTTAAGTTTTTTTTTCTTAGACATTTCCTTTTCTATATGTAAAGGGGGAATATCTATAATTAAATCCATGTTACTTATACAGAGAAAACCATACAGACTAAAATGCTATTTTTTTCACTCCATCTATTTACCTTGGATTGGAATAAGCTATGGACATTTTGATTTTTTTCCAATATTTAAAAAGAAAAACTCCTATTTTTCATATTTAAAGGCGATTTAATCCTGATAAGCCATCTTATCTTCCAATGTATGTTACTGCCTTTTAGAAAATAGAAACACTTAAATAACTGGCCCCACATATAGGAGAAACAAATCCAATTAAGAAGGAAAAAGAATAATCTCGGGGACAAGAATGTTGATACCAACCCTGTTAGACCCTTGCTTTGTCCTTATCATTGTTGACCTACTTGCGTCTTTTTTAATGACAGCAGTAATCAACAAAATAGTTTTTGTGATAATTTATGGCTTTATTGGGCTGAACAAGTAAGCCAACCATTTTGCATAACTTTGCTTTGATGACTATTTTCAGAAAAGTAGATGTTAACTGCTATTTTTACATTCCATCAGAATATTTGAACCCTGTAGAGGAGAACCCTTTTGTTTCTCGGAGAAAAAACGGAGACCTTCAAGCTTTGGATAATCCCGAATATCACAATGCTTCCACCGGTCCACCCAAGGCAGAGGATGAGTATGTGAATGAGCCACTGTATCTCAACACTTTTGCCAACGCCTTGGGGAAGGCCGAGTACCTGAAGAACAACGTACTGTCTGTGCCGGAGAAGGCCAAGAAAGCGTTCGACAACCCTGACTACTGGAACCACAGCCTGCCACCTCGGAGCACTCTGCAGCACCCAGACTACCTGCAGGAGTACAGCACAAAATATTTGTATAAACAAAACGGACGGATCCGGCCTATTGTGGCAGAGAATCCCGAATACCTCTCTGAGTTCTCGCTGAAGCCAGGCACCGTGCTGCCTCCTCCGCCCTACAGACACCGGAATACTGTGGTGTAAACTCAGCAGTGGTTTTAAGGTGGAAAGACGTGCCCGCTCCAATTTCCCTGCCACCTCTCTTTCTCTTACGGTCTTCCTTCTACTCCCAAGGCCAGTCGTTTTGAAACTTCCCAGGGGAAGACATAGAGATGCAATGATAGTTATGTGTTTATCTAACTTGAACATTAGAAGGAAAGACTGAAAGAGAAAGACAGGAAAAACCACACTGTTTCTTCATTTCTCTACATGTGTTGGTCAGGAGACAGGAAGAGCTAGAGAAGGACCAGCAAATAGAAAGCACTACTACCTGATGTCAAACCAGTTCTTAACTTTTTCCTTTTTTTAATTTCTCTTTTATTTTTTAATGCAGAATCTTGAAAGACCCATGCTATCTGTTCCTATCTACAGGAACTGTATATTTTCAGCATCCCTGGAAGTCCTACTAAGCTTTCCATTAGAATAAATACAAAGATAACTTTTTCTATAACATGATAGTAACTGAGATTGAGAATCCAATTACTGTCTCCAATAATTTCTAGCCCAACAAGTGAAGAATAGCTAACTCAGCTTCCATAATTTTTGAATCTACATCAAAGTTATAACGACTATGTTTGGAGGTTTTTCATGATCTCTCTCTCTCTCTCTTTCCCCCTCCTCCTCTCTTTCCCCCTTTGGTCTATTTCTTCATTATTTTCTCCCCCAGTTTGGTCTCTAATTTTTAATGGCAAAGAATTTTTACGTCAAAGCTTCTTATGTGTTGCTGTACATTGACAGAATTTTAAAAAGAAAGATGTTATAGCGAAACGGCCACTATTTTAAAATGCAGTCTTAAAATGAGAAAGGGAGGCCAAGATTTTAGTCAAATGGAGCACCAAATCTAATGTTTCTGTTTTACACGATTGGACATGCACTGCCCCCTTCCTTTACGTCATTCAATGTTTTCTTCTCCTCCATAACTGATAGTACTTGATAGGCAATTGGTAGTGTTAAGCTAGAAGGAAAATTAAGAGACAGTTTTGTGTGGTTCATGAAAACTACTGATATTTTCAGGAGTGACCCAGTGGGAAATCAACCCATTGAACTGGAAGAAACACACTGGATTGGGTATGTCTACCTGGAAGATACTCAGAAATGTGGTTTGCACTTAAACTATAATTTTATTTGTTCTCTTTCTAGACTCCATTTTGGATTTTGAATGAAGCAATATGGAAGCAACCAGCAAAATAAATAATTTAAATACATTTTTTTAAAAAGTGCTAAGATAAAGAAGGACTGTGGAAATAACCAAACCAAACAAATTAGGACTTTGGAACAGTATCTGGGGATTATGGTGAGAGGGCCAGTACTTTATGTACATGTGATATCACATTTGCTACACAAGGGAAGTTGTCCGTTTGTATACTACATATTAAGGAATGCAAGTAAGGATTGGCTTGAATTCCTTGTAATTTCTAGTATGAGACTCTATTTATGTTAAGGGGAAGGTAACTATTTGCACACAGATTAGTAAAATAAAAATAAGTAACCATTCAGAGCTTACAGATAGGTCCTTGGATCAAAAGTTGTAAATAAACATGAAAATCCTCTCATGTAATTATTTTAATATCCAACATACTGATAATCTTTTGATACTTTATATAATAACTCTTTTTCTTCAAACACAGCATCCTAGTTCTAGAACCATCTTTATTAAGTATCATTTTAAGTCAATAACTGCTGAGTTAATATGAGCAATAGGAACAAATGGTAGGAATGTCTCCAGGAAAAGACAACCTCAGGTCAGTAATTAGGAAAATTGTATAGAAGTCTCTCTTTTCTAGAAAAATCTGCCCCAAGTCATTTGGATTTTTAAAACATATTTTTTCTAGCATTAACATATTGGAATCAAATTTGAGTCTGGCACATAAAAGAAATTTTTAGTCTTAAAAATCCAGAATGACAAAATAGTTTAGAGGGGAAAATGCAAAGGAATCAATACTACTACTTAGTTTGAAAAAGTAAATTCATCCAAACCTTCAACTTATTTTTTTCAACTGCTATTTATTTAGAGTTTACTAAAAGCACTGTGTTATGTGGGGAAATCACAGATAAATGTAATGTTATTCCTAACTTAAAAAGTTTAGTCTAGATTTATTTGGAGTGACTCTTGAATTTCGTCATAAGTTTAAAGAGTAAGATTGCATGAGCTTTTTGTGAGTCGTCATCATAAAATTAGCTGTTCATTGAAAGGACTCCAGTGAACTCACTTGGGACATGAATGGAAGATCCTACAAGTTACTGAAGCTGACAAGTAAGACGGTTTCAATGTTATCATCTAAGCACAAATATGTCGAGAAGGGTACTGCATCACTGGCTTACCGCCTGTCCAAATTCTAACTTGACCATTAAATCAGTAGTTTACGTCGGTCTTTGGCCAAGAACATTGGAGGCCTTGGGATTGCTTTTGTCCTGAGCTATGAGAAGTGAAGTAAGCTAAAACAGTGAGAAAAAGCAAGGGTGTTTGTGAGATCCTTTCTAGTAAAGTTCTACCATAAATTTCCTGAGAATAATTCAGGGGCTACAGTCTAACCTCTCTCACCTATTCTGAGGTTACAGCTCAGACCTCTCTCATCTATTCTGAGGGGTCTCCAGGAAAAAGGGGACCTTGCATCAGTACTAATGAAAATGTAGATACGAGCCTCTTCACCTGGATAAATCTGTACCAGCTCAGCATTGATTGCACCCTTGTTGGATACTGGAACTTGACTCTTTTTCTTCTGATTTACAATATTCAAATGTTTTTATTGGGAAATGGAAAGCACAATCATTTATTTTGAAGAAGGAAGGAAAAATAACATGTTTACTGTTAAGGGAGTAGAAATGTATTCAGTGAATGTAATCTCCTTCATCCTGAGAGCCCAAAACCCCTGCACATCAGGTGAGCTTCCTCTAATAACTGGAGTAGAGGCAAGTATAACCCAGAAGGCCCCAGCATTTTTCACGAGAGCTCCACTTCATTTTTCCTTTTCAGTGATTTTTGTAGTACATACTTCATTTCAGTTGTTTTAGGGTTTCTCTTGTGTTTTATTTGTCCCACTAGGAAAGCCTCTTTCAGAGCGTATGAGAAGGAGAAAAAAAGATTTTCATTTGTTCCAAAGAATAAATTATTCGACCCAGTGGAGCGAAATTTAAAAATGCCAGTTAAAGCCTGAAAAGGTGCATTGGACTATCATGTTTCAGGGGCTAGCTGTATCGGTGCAAATAGGCAGAAACAATTAAGTAAATTAGAGGAAAATTAATGTTAAAATTATGCAGACTGTATTTTTTAAATCCCAAAATTTTGTAGTTTCTACCTACCTTGGGGGATCCTATTTTCAAGTATGGAAAAAAATGTATGAAGAAAAGTTTGTACAAAGAAGTGTTTCTTAGGCAGGTGAGAAAAGACATCCTCTGAACCAGGGTAGACCCAGAACTGCAGAGCACCCTGTGCCATACAGAGGTGCTCAAACTGCTGAACAGCAATCTCTATCCCAAGCATTAGTGGCACAATTTAGGCTGAGAGTTCTTTCTCAAGTAATAATCTTGAAATAGCATAAAACATGCAATTCTCAAATTATATTAAAAGGTACAAACTAAAAATAGGAGTTCTTTTCTTAGTAGATCAGGAAGAAAGACTGAATATTGATAGCTAAGAGAAGAAATAGTATTCTTGTAAGTGCTAAGATGTGTGTGTTAACAGCCTCTAAAGGCAGGACATGGCATGAAGATCATGAATATTCCCAATGCCAAGGACAGACCTGTCCAAGGACTGTGAGGTTCTACTGCTACATGACCTTACAGGGGCTATCGTCATGCTCTCTGAAGGGTTGAAAGTGAAAGGAGAAATTATATTGTTTAAGTCAGACAGGGAAGGATGTAAATACAAGTTTTTCTAGAGCTATCTAACCTTTATTTCAAAACTTGAATTATTCACCCATCTATAAATGTTGATTATTTAACTAGCATATGTAGTTCATAAGGTAATAGAAATGGTGATTACGACCGCATGTATATAACTGCGCAGAACCAGGATAACGCTCGCTTGTAAGATGTAGATTTAGTTAGGTTATCAGACAGTGAATGATTTTAATATTATTAAATTAATTAAACTAGAAAGTTAACCACAAAGTGTAATGTAACAAAATAAAATGTGGGACATAAACGTCTAGGATGGATTTTGCATAGTAAAAAATAAGTTTGCCATTTACAATTGTTATTGTTAGGTTTAGCTGAAAGTAGACAGTTAAAGAGCCGGTTCCAGTCACAGAAACTTGCTTTAATCTACTATAGTTATTATTTTTCTTACATTCTTATTCCTTTACCATTTTTAAATGTATCAGATATGAAAAGAAATTTTTAGAATTTGTTTTGCAAACGCCACCTTGAAGAGTTTAACAGGCAAACACGTTACTGAGGACTTTAAGCTAAGAGGTGTTCAGAACGAAGTCAGGGAAATGTAAATGTTCTATTACCTTATGCAGAGACAAAGAATGAGTAGTGCCATTCAGTAAACAAAACACAGCTGATTTGTGAGTCCCTCTTTCTTTTTCCATACCTCCTGTTTCAAAAAGCAAACCAAGGAATTAGTTAACATTATTCTCATAGGTACATGCTAAAACAAGCATTTATCCATCATTTTTGACTCTAGTGATTAGACTAACAATTTTTGATAAGGCAAATAAAAAATCTATGTGTATAAACTGCTAGTTGTTAAAAAGACAGATGCATTCATTCACTTGTCTCTATGACAGGGACAGGAAAGTCTTCTGTGCTGCTTTGTATACACAGGTTGTGAAGGACACCCTTGAACCCATGCAGACCCATAAAGGCAGACTCAAGTCTGCTAAATGTCACTTGCTTAAGAACAAATAATATTATACAGAGATAGACTGGGTACAATTTTAAAATACTAGGATCAGGGGAGATCTTGGTACTACAGTTGGGCTAGCTTTTACACTTCTGGGTAGAATGTATACAATTTTCCAATCCCAGAGAGGCCTTTGCAAGGGTAGTTCTCTCTACAGGTACAAGCATGAAGCTGTTGTAGGCCGGGTTGGGTCAGGAAAACCTTGAGTTTGTGTGCATAGATAGCTTTTAACACCATGCAGGCTGCTTAGTTCTGTTCATTAACAAAAAGATCTCTGTGAAATTGTGGAAACTTCAGGCACTCAGTTCAAGTCCCTCTGATTTTGTAGAGGTGCAAAAATGTAGACTGTATCACCTCCCCCCAGACAGGTGGTATTTGGGGCAGAAGACAATGCTTCTCTAGTTATGAGATGAAAAGACTTTACGTCCCAATTTCATGGGAGTATTCACACGCATTCCCTGGAGAATACTCTTTGACAGTCAGTGTTCTGTGATTATTTGAGGAATCACAGAAAATTTCATTTCTCTCTGGACCTTAGAGGAAGATGACATCCTTACCTTTTTTCTGTCCATTGGCACAAGCAGCTCCGATGTCTTCGCCTCTTCACTGCTCTGGTTCGGAGTGGTTCTCCCGACACTGTACCTCTCGTAAGCCATAGTGGATCTCTGAGGTCCCACACCCTGCTCTGTGAAGTAATGATTTAGCCTCTGCTCTCAAATGCCTGACTTTTCCATAAAAGACCCTAGCAATGTGGACATTATTTGAATTATTTCACAAATCAATGACTGCACAGAGTACATATTAAAATTATGTTTTTCCATGAGGACCACTCCTTTACTACGTCCTTCTCTGAGGGAATGTGAGATGAGTCAGCCCGTTGATGAATCTTGAAACTCACATATGGGCACGTGCCCTTGGTAGGTCTTAGATTTAATCGTTTCATGAAAACCTTCCATCTCCTTGAGAAGTTTTTCCAGCATATTAACTTATTTACTTTATTTATCTTATTTTATTCCTGATCATGAGTATTTTATAGCTGCTGTATTTTTTTCATAAATAAAGAGTCTTATTATCACACAGGTAAAGGCTATTCAGCTTTGAGAACCACCTGTAATCCTTGATTGGTTCATTCATCCATCTAAGAAATAAATAATGAGTGCAATTTTGTTGTAATAAAAACTCGTGTTGTCTACTAGATTGCCATTTTTTCTCTACTTTTGCTCTTTAAGGACATTTTTCTTTCAAGGCTCTAATGAGTTTTACCCATATAATGAGACATGGTTATATTTGTACAAATACACAAATATGAGAAAACAAAGTTTCATATCTGTAGGCAATAGTCTAATTTGTCCAAACCACTTTGCCTTTACTGCTATTTTTATCGCTGACGTGTAAATGTTCATCAGCCTGCAACCCTTTCAAATAAAGGCAAACCATAACTCCTATGTATGGACATCACCTGTGCTTTGAAAGTCATTTCCAGATATTTCAGTTAATGAAGGATTATACTTTGACTCTAATGTGAAAGTCATTTTCCTGTATATTTCTGGATCTCTCAGGGGCTGGGAGGGGGGAGTGAAGGGATTACACCATAGCACTCCAAGAACCCTTTTAGGATTACTCCAGTAATCAACTACAAAAGTTATTTTCTAAATGTAGATATGTACGCTGTTCTTTTCAAGTAAGGTACTTCGAAATATGTAGCATAAATTGGTACTGCTGTTAAATGGGTCGATTACTAAACTGAGCAGCGGTGCAAGGGCAGCTAACTTTGAATGCACACCCCTCTAGCTGGTGTGTTTACATCTCATGTTGTGAGCACCAGGGACTTGCATCACTGCATGTCGGAACTGCATTTTCCCACGATATGACTAGTTGTCCATCTCTTTCTGGAGCACGATTGTAACAAGATCAAATGAACAGAGACCAATCTGTAAGACAATTCAGAGCACACACAAAAAAGTCATGTTAAATCTTGTCTCAAACACTCATCTCATACACGCATCAAAAAAAGTTGATGGTGGTAAATTTCAGGTAATAAAGGGAGACACTCTACCAAAAAGACAGAGGCTTGAGGTATTTTATATATTTGTATTCATTTCTTTGTGTTCTTAACTTGTAAACAAAAAGTAAATCCTCTCTCTTGTGAAGATGCTTCCGAGGACAGAGGAGCAAAAATACCTAGCTGGTAAGCCATCAGTGTTCCATTCAAATCCCAGTGTTCAAAGTTAGCTGCCTTTTGAAATAAACAAACAAAAAATACTACTGTATGTTTGAAAATGTGAATAGTATTTTTATAGCTTGTTAAAGACATGGCTAGTTGCATTTGTAAATAATGTTGCTTTGATTTTCTTTTGTGGACATCTTTATTTGGAACATAATTGTCTTTAGGGTTGATTTGTATATAAGAAATTGGCTTGTGATTGTTTTTTTGGGTTGGCAGTTATAATTTTGACATTACTTGTGATTCTGTGTTCAGCACTATTGTGATGTGTTCAACCTCTGCACTCGCTTACACAATAGGATATAACAATTGTGTGTTGTGTAATGTTATTTTGATTTTTTCCTTTTTTATCTATGAAGGATTATGCACTTAACACACACTAACTTTTTTAACGTTAGGTATATTTTTAGTATAATTTCCCTTATTCTTTCTTTCTTCTCTGACCCTTCTTCACCCTGTTCTTTTTTCCTTCCCTTGATTTCTGTTGTTATTTTAAAATGAGAGACAAAAATATTTTAAATTTCTGTAATTAGGCCTTTCAGTTAGTTCTCAAGGATCCTCTCTTGGCTCTTGGGAAAGAATTGTACCTGTACAAGGCAATTATAGAATGCGACCTGCTTTGCCTCATTCCATACTGATCATCCCAGCTGAACAATTTGAAAACTGTTCTGCTTTTTTGTTACATGAATCTGTCAGAAATATATTTTTAATTTAATATAAATGAAATTCAATAAAATATGAAACAAATTTTCTCTTCTGTGTTAGAAAATTTTTCTAAGAAAAACCAACTGAGAAGAGGAAGATTCATTTTTAATTTAATAATCTGATGATGTGTAATGAGCTTATTTTTCCTATTTATGAATCTCCATAATTATTCCTAGGCACACTTTGGTTGTTTGAAATGTGATCCAGTCCATGTTTCACCATGAAGCACATATACTTATTGATGTGTACAAACTTACTTGTTGTGTAAACTATGCTTAATTAACTGTGGTTGGTTTGTTTCTTTAGAAATTAAAAAAATTATACTGTATAGGTTGTATACAAAAAACATTATTTTTTTTTCTTCTTGCCTTCATTGCAGTATACAAAAATGGTTCCAGCAAATCTTTTGTTATAAAGAATATCCAATGTTAGTAGCATGCTTGAGGTGACTTGAGACAAGCCAGCAGAAATGTGTCAGAGTGATTTCAGAGATATTAATGCCAAGAGCAAGGTCTCTCATCACTCTCTTATTCTGGTTACCCTGTCTTAAGTATTGGTTTTCATTCCTTTATACCTCCAAATTGCAAGAACTTTGAGATTTCAATAGCTGCTCATTCAAGACTCTATTACAGTTTGAAACTAAAACGGTTATTTGATTATATATCATTTCAACTGAGTCAGTGGTCAGGAAATATTTTTCAGCAATATATTTTCAGTAAGTCCTTTTAAATCTGTTCTGTGGGTCTTTAAAGATCCTGTTGATGGCACCTCCTGCCATTTGCATGGATATGAGCACATTCTCTCCTGTGGGTATTTAGACCCATGTATTTAAGATGATAGTTATCCTATAGTGTTCATGGTGATATATCTCAAGACACTATGTATTTGACATCATCGATAGTCTGAGGAAGAGGAAGAAACAACTTGTGTTTCTAATGCTTTAAGGTACCTGTGACATTTCCAGGAGCACCATGTTATCTCATAGCAGTTGCAGTACTTGATAATTACATACTGCTTTACTATGTATGAACATATTCTACATATTGGAATGGTCCTGGTCACCCAGATAAGAAAAAAACAAATCTAGAGTCATGTGACCATTACACAGGGGTGGTATCCTCAAAGCTTCGTCTTCCAATGAAGAAATATCTTTCTTTCTCTAATCACTTAACACTTATCTTTCTCCTTCTGCTACAAAGGAACATTATTCTGATAAGAACATACTTAGTGCTAACACACTGACTTAGTTTAAGACTACCAGTGGTCTTCATTGGAACCTTGATAAATGTTCTTCTGATACAACTCAAAACTTTTCCTCCTCAAACTATCCAAAAGCAACTAATTTCTGATGGAGAATCAGGTTGATTTCATTCAAGAGAAAAACATGTGATGTAATCACAAGTAAAATATATTAAAAAAATAATTATGTAGAGAGTCTATCAGTTTTGTCCCATTCTCAGGGTCTTATAAATCTGTTTTGTAAAGGTGCCACTTGTCCCCCACGTATATCAGAGACTATAGCATATAACGATGTTTATCTCTAGCAATGTCTTACATATATTAATCATAACAGAAGTCGAACCTCACGTGAAGCACTTAACTTATAAATAAGTTAATACATTTTCTAAGGTTTATTACATGATAAATGTCCACAAGAAACAACTTCTGAAATACAGCATAGAATCTGATCCTGAACCAATATCAATACTTCAATGAAAACAATGGTGGTAAGAGGGGGTAAAAGTATGATGAAGCTGGGAAGTATACGACAGAATAGAATATTAAAAACTAAAATGAGTGTGAAAATTCAGACATAATATTTTCTTCTTCTTTTCACTCTTAGATTCCTGAATTCACAATTACTTAACTTTTTAAGCCTTTTGGGAAGATTATGTATATGTAGTCTGTCCAGAAGGTATCTAGCCATGTAATATAAAAAAAGAGACATTTATTGAAGAAGAAGCAAGATACAAGAAACATTGTATCTTGTGATGCCTCAGTCCCCTTCAAAGCAGGCATCTTGGGACCTCACATAGTTCTCCCAATGACTATCAGCTCCCCCACTGTATTTTCCTGAATCTCAATTGAAGGTCTGAAATCTCTTCCCTTTCAAAGGTGATTTTAGTGTTGGGGAAAGCCAAAAGTTGCAAGGCACCAAATATGGGCTGTAGGGACTGAGTTACCTAGGGGATTTGATGTTTTGCTGAAAAACTCTGCATGAAACATGATGCATTAGCAGATGCATTATAGGGATGAAGCTGCCAATCTCCAGTAACTGTAGCCTTCCGAATCATCCAAATAGTTTCCGTGGAAGAATGTTCAAGCTTAACACAACATTTGATGCAGATTTGTTGTTCTACTCTCTAGGTCACTTTGAATGCCACAGCCACACAGTACACATGGAGTTTACTGCCTCCACTGACTAGTACAGTGAGGTTGTCATTGTTCACCCATGTGCATTCCAGTCCACTGGAATGAGATGCCAGGCTCCTTGGCTGCCAGGATACATTAATGCTGAACAAACAGCTCTCATTACAGCAATGGCTGGACTTTTTCCAGACCAATCTTGTGTGTGTATATACATATATAAATATATATAAGATATATATATATTCTAAGACCAACCTTGAGTGTGTAAACATTATATATACATATATATATATGTGTGTGTGTATGTGTATGTGTATGTATATATAGAGATTGAGAGATACATAAAGAGAAAAAAAGGAGAGAGAATATGTCACATAAAATGTTTAGACATATTTATAAGTTGCAGAATTTCATACAGAATTTCTATTTTCAAGTCATTTTATTACAAGCCCCAAGATGTCAATCATGCTACAACTAACACTCATAAAACTGTAAACTGAGCAGGTGCATAGTTAGCTAATTGTATTTCCCTCCACAGTATCATCAAGCTGCATGATAAACCATGGGGACGAAGTCACTAGACAACCATCTTAAGATCAGAAACAGAAGACTGTCACCTAGATAGCAATTCTAAAGCTATAAACAGAACAATTCACCACAAGATAGCAATCAGGAGACTGTAAACCAAATGGTACACGTGAGACATGTGAATATTGAACTATCTGCTCTTACAAGTTACCCATAGATTTTAAAAAGAAAAATATCCATCTTGCAAACCTGTTTCTGCTTACTTTTATTGCCAAGATAAGTAGAGTATTCTACAAAATAACATAATTGAAGTTTTCTACTTCTATTAGAAACAGTAAAATAAAGATCCCAAGCTTTAAAAGCATATTCTATTAGCTGCCTACCAATTTCTATCGTATAATATCTTGAAGATAAAATCTTAATATTTTGTTCCAGTTACTTTAAACACCTTCTTATGTCATCATTGTCCACATAGTACAGGGCTTTATTGAGTCATCTTACCTTTACTCTGTGAACAGTTATTGTATTTGCGTAGCTTTCTAGCCACTACAACAATCACATTAAAATAATGACAGATAGAGATTGAAGACCCCCCGTATATCTATCCTTTTGTTAAGAACTTTATGCTCATTGTCTTATTTAATGTTCACCGCAAACTTACGTTACTATTATTTATTTTTCTCTTTTCATAAATGATGAAAGTAAAACATTAGAAAGGTTTAAAAGAAGCTTGTCCAAGGCCATGCAAAATGTGTCTTACCACATGACATCAGTACTTTATGCCTTATGCTGGATTATACAGACAACCGTTAGACAACACGGTTTGAAATGTGCAGGCCCATAATACACATATATTTTTTTCAGTAAACAGCTGTACTGTGTTCCATATGCAGTTTGGAGTTTGGGTCTTTCTAGAAGAAGTATTAAAATTTGCTTGCTCACACTACTAATGAAACTTGATCCCACTACCTGAGGCTCCCCTTGCTGACTCATCTACCCTGTTACATTCAATCCAATGTCACATAAAATTCTGTGAGGACCCCTCTCTGGGCTCGAGAGGGTAATTGTTTGCATTTCTAAACTTGAATTGAGAAAGCATGCCAAACAAAATAATATTTCTATAGATAGAATCAGTTCTATTCATGGACACCAGAATCTGTCCTTTTCTCCTTTCCCCTAGTTCTTCCTTCTCAAGTGTGAAGAATTTTATAGATCGGAATGTGGGATCGGTGGGGAAGGATGAGTATTGTAAAGAATTGTTTCTATCTAATCAGTATTTTTCTAAATAGTGAGTTTAAAGGTCAAGAGTTTGTTTGTTTTCCTACTTCTGCTCCCCATGGTACTATGAAGGTCTCTTATATTTTGAAGAAATGTTTCTCACTCATTAAAAAAATGTGGGAGGAAGAGCCCAACCTATGTGCTAGGTATTGAGCTAAGCAAATCACATGTATTATCTCTCTTCCTCACATGAATTATAAGGCCAGGGCTGTATTTAACAGTTGTTAGTTTCTGATAATGGCGGGACATAAATTGCCCCCACAGAGATGAAAGGCAGAGCTGTTTGTTATTTACAGCTCTGTCAGTGGATGAGAAGGGGCCACATGGGAGCTGCACACGGCAAAAGGGTACAAACCTGTTAGAAAATGTAAGAGGCAGCTTAAGAGTGGTAGGCCAGGTAAAGTTAGGTAGGTTTCACAGGCTTCCTGTAGATTGAGTTGTGGGGAACTTCATTCCTTGGAGTCCTCCCAGTCTCAGATGAAAATGAGTCGTCCTGGACACAACTGGTTCTTTGGGTTGGAAAGGGGATGGTGATTCCCTATAGTGGAGAATGCCACAAGCCCTTCTCTGAAACAGCTTTTAATGGAATCAGCATGGGCAGGGGTATGCAGTATGTATTCAAAGCTCATCAATAAATACATAAAGGCCATAGTCACAGAAAACCGTTATTATCTATAGAAAAGAATTGAGGGAACACAGAGATCTGCCTCAGGTCAGGGTCTGTTAGACATGCTGATGGCAGATGGTTGTTAAAGAGAGTTTCATGAGATAAGGAGTTCTCTCCTTCTGCTTTTGGACTTAGATATCTGATT